AGGAGCCCAGGGGCCAGGTGTTTGCACTAACCTGCAGTGTTTTGTGTTTCTTGCAGATGTTCCCACAAGCCTGCACTTCCAGAGCATGCTGAAATCTCAGTGGCAGAACAAACCTTTTGACAAAATCAAACCTCCCAAAAAGTTTTCACTTAAGCACAGAGCACCCATGCCAGGCAGCCTGCCAGATCCAACTCGTAAAGACAGGCACAAGTTGGTCAACTCCTTCCTAACAACAGCCAGTAAGTTTCAGGGAACCGGAGAATCCTCTGCCATTTCAGTTATTTTTCATTCCTTTTATATTCTCTAGTTACTGATTTGCTATGCCAGTATGTTGGGGTTGGGTGAGGCAATTTGACAGATACACATTCAGCCAATTACTACTTCTGCTTGTCTTGGATGCTCTTAGATGGAGTTTGGGAGTTCTTCTAGACACTGTGGGTCTTGGGGCATGACCCAGAATGCTCAGTGAACAGCCAACAATGGCATGGTATTGGGAGCATCTGTGGGCAGGATGTCTTCTGTAGCCTAGTGTCACATTTCTTTGGTTCTGGGCTCCCTGTGCCTGTCCTAGCCGTTGTGCTATTTACTAGAATATTCAGTCTTGAAGGACTGTCCTGCTGCCCTTGGGTGTACCGAATTGGCCTTGGGAGAACTCAAGAGTTTGGAATTCAAATAAGAAAAGATTTGAGAGAAGGTATTTCACAGCTCTTTTTCTGTTCCCCTCTTCAGAGCTGTCCCATCACCAAACCCGGCCTGACAGGACCCACAGGCAGCACTTAGACGATGTGGGGGCTGTGCCCATGGTGGAGCGAGTGACAGCGCCAAAAGCAGAGCGCTTGCTCAACCCACCGCCACCTGTGCATGACCCAAACCACAGCAAAATGAGATTGCGAGACCATTCATCTGAGAGAAGTGAAGGTAGGGCCAGGCCCGTGGCACCTCTACCTGCAATTGCACCTGCTCAGGGCTTTCTGGGGCAACCTAGGCTTCTCTTAATTGCCCCCAGCTTTGTCCTTCACTTTCTAGGAAGGCAGAGTAGGGGAATGCTACTGCTTTTAAATGCAGGTTACACTTCTGAACCACCACAGCAACCTCTGCCCAGCCCCTACCTCCCATCGACAGTTTGCTTCACCTTTTTATCCTCTAGGCTTAGAAAGCATTTTGCCTTTAGTGTGCATTGCTGCCTTTCCTAGCTTATGTTAGAAGTTTCACTGGTAAAGATAGCCATGTATTCCTCTCTTTTCTGTTGACTTCTGCAGTGTTGAAGCATCACACAGACATGAGCAGTTCGAGCTACTTGGCAGCCACTCACCATCCACCACACAGTCCCTTGGTGCGGCAGCTCTCCACCTCATCAGACTCCTCCACACCCACCAGCTCTAGCCCACAGGTTACAACCAACACATCTGTAAGTACCTGTGTGGAGTTGGCTGGGTGTTCCTCTGCAGGTTACAGCTCACTCAAGGGGCTCTGTGGAAGGACAGTATAGAGGGTGGGTTATGGAAACCAGGGCATTTATAGGAACTCAACTCATCATGATGTGTGTATGTATCATTTTTAAGTCAAAGTGGTGGTATTTGATTTTCTGTTGAGTTGTTTTTCATAGAGATGGATTTATGCTGAGTCATCCATATAGACAGCTTAATGAAGAGACAGAGTCTTAAGGTGGTCTGTAACTGTTGAAGATCTATGCAGCTAAGTTTCACACGAGGCTCAATAATAGTACGTAACCCTGTTGGCCTAAGAAGTGGACATGAGAGGGGAGGGCTGGAGGAGAGATACTTGTGGGCATTGGAGACATTTGATTTCCTTGTTTTTACTCTCCTGGTGAGTGGAGTTGGCACACTGAGAAGAAATACTGGGTGTTAGGGTGCTGGAAGGGAAGGGAGAAGGTAGATCCTGTGCTTTGTAGGTGTATAGAACAGAATTACAGGTCTAGCAGGCTGCCATGGCAGTACTACGTGTAGTATACTTAAGATGGCGGGCCATTTGTGCACATTCACATGCATACACACATACCCCAATCAGCTCTTACGGTAACGCACTCTTATGCACAGCCATTCCAGGCATGTTCCCATTAATTTCGTTCTAGTATTTTAATCCCTCTTGAACACATAGACCTGTAGCTGCTTTGTATCTACTAAAGGGTCCTTTGTAGTATAATGGTTATAATAGTCGTAATAGTAAAAATAAAACTCTGCAGCTGTAATGTTTGTTGAACAACTTACTGTGTGCCAGTGCTCAGTGGTTTACATGTGTTACTCCATTTCGTAGGCATGAAAACAGAGGCTTTCCAAAGTTAAGTAAATTGCGTAAGGCAAGGAAGCTTGTGAGGGTTATAATTGTGATTCAAACCCAGGCAGCCTGACTGCAGAGCCAACTCTCCTACCATCACACGACACTGTCTAAGCCTGGGTGGGGGCATTGCAGAGGCAACTTATGAAACTCCTCCAGAGCTTAGATCAAGAAACTTCTAAGCTTGTAAAATGTGCTCATTAGGCTCCTATAATCAGGTAGGAATTCACATTGTTTTCTCTTTGCTCTTAGAAATCAGTCTCTTCCAAACAGCCTCCTTGCTCCTGTGACACCCTCAACTTTTGTCTAAGTAGATATGTAGTATCCCTCACACTCTCAATTATCCACCAGCAGAGGGTGAATTTTAGGTAACCAAAGTATACAAAAGAAAGCCCAATTCTGTTAGAAAATCTGACCTCTGAGATTTAGGACTTGGTATGAGTACTTCAGTATTTTTCTCACCTACCAGCCCTCCGGTGTCTGGAGAATGTTAACATAGGCCTGAATGATTTGAAAATTTTACATATTATTTATTGAGTACAAGTTTTATATGTAGCACTATGTGGACCCTGAAGGTACTCATTACCAAATTTTTCCAAAGAGTCTGAAATTAGGCTGGGCATGGTAGCTCACGCCTTTAATCATAGCACTTTGGGAGGCAGAAGCAGGATTGCCTGAGGACAGGAGTTCAAGACCAGCCTGAGCGAGAGGGAGACCCTGTCTCTATAAAAAATAGAAAAATTGTCCAGGCTTGGTCACCTGTAGTCTCAGCTACTAGGGAGGCTGACACAGGAGCGTGGCTTGAGCCCAGGAGTTTAAGGTTGCATTGAGCTGTGATGATACTACTGCACTCTATCCTGGGTGACAGAGTGAGACCCTGTCTCAAAAAAAAAAAAAAAATACTAGATTTATTTAATAGTAAGAGGATAAGCCAAATATAGTTGTCCTTTGGTAGCCATGGGAGATTGGTTTCAGAACCTCCCATGGATACCATAATCTGCAGATGCTTAAGCCCCTGATATAAAATGGTATAGCATTTGCATATAACCAGTGCACATCCTCAAGTACTTTATAATACCTAATACAATGTAAATGCTATGTAAATGATTGCTAATACTGTATTGTTTAAGGAATAATGACAAAAAAGTCTGTATACATGTTCAGTACAGACACAATTTGTTTTCTCAAATAATTGGTTGAACCCATGGATACAGAGGGCCAACTGTTCTTGAAATCAAGTAGAGAAGCTAGAGGACACTGGAGAGATGATAGGGGGAGGTAATGTTTGTGCCAGCGCTTCACAAAAGCCAGTGGCTGCATCAGAACCACCTTGGTGGCTTTAAAAAACAGAACTTTGAAACTGTGTATGGTGGCACACACCTATAGCTGGAGGCTAAGTCAGGGCGATTGCAAAAACAGATTCTGATTTAACAGAAGAGGGGGAATCCTAGAACTTTTTTTTATTTAATCAAACACTCTTTATCTTCTGACGTACAACCAAGTTTGGGAACCACTTTCCATTCTCATCACCTGCGTACAAGTTTTATATGTAGCACTATGTGGACCCTGAAGGTACTCATTACCAAATTTTTCCAAAGAGTCTGAAATTAGGCTGGGCATGGTAGCTCACGCCTTTAATCATAGCACTTTGGGAGGCAGAAGCAGGATTGCCTGAGGACAGGAGTTCAAGACCAGCCTGAGCGAGAGGGAGACCCTGTCTCTATAAAAAATAGAAAAATTGTCCAGGCTTGGTCACCTGTAGTCTCAGCTACTAGGGAGGCTGACACAGGAGCGTGGCTTGAGCCCAGGAGTTTAAGGTTGCATTGAGCTGTGATGATACTACTGCACTCTATCCTGGGTGACAGAGTGAGACCCTGTCTCAAAAAAAAAAAAAAAATACTAGATTTATTTAATAGTAAGAAGATAAGCCAAATATAGTTGTCCTTTGGTAGCCATGGGAGATTGGTTTCAGAACCTCCCATGGATACCATAATCTGCAGATGCTTAAGCCCCTGATATAAAATGGTATAGCATTTGCATATAACCAGTGCACATCCTCAAGTACTTTATAATACCTAATACAATGTAAATGCTATGTAAATGATTGCTAATACTGTATTGTTTAAAGAATAATGACAAAAAAGTCTGTATACATGTTCAGTACAGACACAGTTTGTTTTCTCAAATAATTGGTTGAACCCATGGATACAGAGGGCCAACTGTTCTTGAAATCAAGTAGAGAAGCTAGAGGACACTGGAGAGATGATAGGGGGAGGTAATGTTTGTGCCAGCGCTTCACAAAAGCCAGTGGCTGCATCAGAACCACCTTGGTGGCTTTAAAAAACAGAACTTTGAAACTGTGTATGGTGGCACACACCTATAGCTGGAGGCTAAGTCAGGGCGATTGCAAAAACAGATTCTGATTTAACAGAAGAGGGGGAATCCTAGAACTTTTTTTTATTTAATCAAACACTCTTTATCTTCTGACGTACAACCAAGTTTGGGAACCACTTTCCATTCTCATCACCTGCTCTCTATCTCTGGCTAAAGGCTTTTCTCTCTTGAGGCTTTCTTAAGATGTATTTCTTATAGCAGGTGTAAAATTTCAGCAGAGATATGACAGTGACAGGGTCCTTTGGGTTTGAGGTCCCTAATCCTCCCACTATAGAACTCAGCCAGGCAAGATTCTCAAAAGCCTCTTCAACCATTTTGGTTAACCAGTCACCCTAAATTTGTGAGGTCAGTGACGGTCATCCCATTTGATAGAGAAGGACATTGTGGTCACCTGATATTATAAATGACAGCAGCTGAAATTCTGGTCCAGGAAATGCTGACTTTTAACATTCTCTGAGAATGTGCTAAGATGATGGGATGAATAAAATGTTTATTGCCCTCCAGAAACAGAGCATAGAGTAGTTAGTTGTAGGGAGTGACCTCTTCCTCATCTTCTTCACTAACCCCTTTCCTATCGGCTGACCACACTTGGTGGTTTGGGTGTGTATACAGCCTCTTAGGTGTTGCCAGCTGTTTTGTTGCCATGGCAGCATGTTTGTCATCCCACTGTTTCCCTCTGGCCCCTCACAGCTCAGTTGCCAGTCTGTTTCAGGATAGTGTATTTGCTATTTGAGCAGTAGATAGTAGACCTTTTCTTCCATCCAAGAGACCAAGCTGTTTGGTTCCCTGCTTTATTCCTTCCTTGGTCTTCAAGCTACTGTAGATTATAGACGTCCACCTATACTTCTGATATTGGATCCTTGGAAGTCTTATTTTTCCAAGAGTTTGGTCTTCTCAATTTTCCATAAAATCAAATTTCCTTTCTCCAGGAATGTGAGGTATAGCCAGGTCCTCCTCTTTAGTTTTCCTCCATTCATCTCTGTTGATACAGCTAGAAAGTTCTTGGTTCTTTCCCCAAGAATAATAGAAAAAGGAGAAATCACATAAAGGCTAAAGAGATGGTGGGTGCAGATTTAGCTGAAGAGTTCATATCTTCAAGAAGAAGGTGCATTCATGACAACCAAGGTTAGATGATATATTGAGATGAGCCTCTCCTTTGGGCATCTTTTGGGATAAGGTTTTAAGCATTGCTTTTAGGGGCCACCATGGGTCTGACGGATAAAGGGGGAAAACAAGATTTTTAAAAGTGGGAGTTTATAAAGGTATATTATGGAGGAATAGGAACTCCAACGATTGACTTGGGATACCTATCCCTATAAAATTCAACAGAAGTCTCTTTTCACATGAACCCATGAAGGAAGAGGTGGCCGATGGGACTTAAGAATGGGAGTTACTTCTCGGGACTGCTTAATATTTCTCCCCAAGACTTTGCTCTTAGATACTGTTTCTCCTAGGTGTGAGCAGCTGCTGTGGTCACTGCCCAGCTTCAACCTGAGGATCTAGAGGCCTGGTTATTGGTGATCCTGCTTTTAAGTCTTGGGTGAATGATTTGGTATTTATCAAGTTGTGCCTCCCTTTTAAACTTACCTTTGTCTTACAGCAGCCGGTAAGGAGGAGAAGGGGAGAGAGCTCATTTGATATTAACAACATTGTCATCCCAATGTCTGTTGCTGCAACAACCCGTGTAGAGAAACTACAATACAAGGAAATACTTACACCCAGGTAGAATCCCTGAATAACTGGCCCTTCTCCCCATTCTTCCTGTTATTGCTCTTTTCCCCTCTTCTCCTCTGACCAAGCTTTGGGCCCTAGCTTTGCATTCTGTCGTCTTAGTAAGGAAGGTCTTACCTGTTAGGAGTTGAAATTATTTCTCTATATAGTTCTCTCTCATTCCATTATTATGAATACACCAACCAAACCAGAGGTCACAACCTGGCAAGACCACTGGCCCTTACTGGTCTATAGACATGCTTTGTTAACACATAGAGTGCGTTTAAAAATACTGAATTTGTTGTCAACATTAAAGCATGATTTCACTTGTAAATCTTTATTTCTAGCTTTTGCTGACAAATAAGATTTGGCAATCCTGCGTATGCATTCCCACGTGGTAGTAATCAGCTGGTACTGAATAGTGGTGGTCCCCTTTAAACAGGTTCATTTGCTTGAGTTTGTCCCAGTCACCCAGCCCCAACACAACCCGGGCCTGATTCTCCCATTTCTGGCCTTTTTGTGGGCATTTGAGTAGGAGGCCTATTTTAGAGGCCTTGAGGGGTAAGGAGACTGAGCTGTGATAGGGCACAAGCTTGCCAGCAGACAAGCTGTGTCACCTGCAGGAACAGGGTTCTCATACTCGCATGGACAAATTGATCCTGCCCCAGGCTGTAGCCTGCTTGTCACGATTGTTGGTTCTTGGTTTTGCAGCTGGCGAGAGGTCGATCTTCAGTCTCTGAAGGGGAGTCCTGATGAGGAGAATGAGGAGGTAATGGCGTGGTCCTTCTCTCTTAGAAGAACACGTGTGCCTGCACACACGTATGTGGGTGCACACACTCTAGATGCCTCAAGACCTGTGGGCATCAAGTGCAAGCTTTCTGTATTTCTGTCCTAACCGGGAAATGCTTAGCATGGGGTGGGGGATGTTCTGCTCAAACTTGGCTTCCTGGAGGAAAGAAGGGATCAATGAAGCTGCTTTATTGCAGATTGAGGACCTATCCGACGCAGCCTTTGCCGCCCTGCATGCCAAATGTGAGGAGATGGAGAGGACACGGTGGCTGTGGACCACGAGTGTGCCACCCCAGCGGCGGGGCAGCAGGTGATGGGGCAGACATAGGTCCGCAGGGCCTGTGGATGGGGGTGGACAGGGAGTTTGGGCTCTGCCTCTGTCCATGAAATTGCCGCTGCCTCTTGGTTGCTCTTTATACTCATCTACTGGCCAAGAATGTCCAAGTTCCTTGGTGTTTGTTGGAACTAGTGGAGGTATAAGTAGGGGTGGTGGTGATTTAGCCAGAGGAGATTCGAAGGCCTCACTGCAAGTTAACCCTCCTTTGGACAGTGGACTTTGGTCCTACTTGAAAGAACAAAAGAACTGCCCCCCATATATGCATCGCTACCCTGTCTCAATTTATTGTTTGTTTGTTTGTTTTTTTGAGACAGAGTCTCGCTCTGTTGCCTGGGCTAGAATGCCATGGCGTCAGCCTAGCTCATAGCAACCTCAAACTCCTGGGCTCAAGCGAGTAGCTGGGACTACAGGCATGCGCCAGCATGCCCGGCTAATTTTTTCTATATATTTTTAGTTGTCCAGCTAATTTCTTTCTATTTTTAGTAGAGATGGGGTCTCACTCTTGCTCAGGCTGGTCTTGAACTCCTTACCTCGAGCGATCCTCCTGCCTCGGCCTCCCAGAGTGCTAGGATTACAGGCGTGAGCCACCGCGCCCGGCCTCCATTTATTGTTAACTGTGGCAGAAGCCCTTGGGATGCTTTCAAAAGTAGAAAATTTGGGGGGCTCTTGTTTTTACTTTTTTTTCTTTGACTATAATTTTCAAAAACTAATTTCTCTACCACCATGAATTCGCCAGGCACTGTGCCAGAGATTATTAGCCCCTGGCATTGTTTAGCCATGGCTTTCTCTTGTGATGTTAGGTGTGCCTAGTTCTTAGTGTAGCTGGCCCTCCAGGCAGTAGTGGAAGGAAATGGGATTTGCTGGATCCTAGGGAAAACCAGTTGGTGTCAGTCTGCCTCAGCTCCTGTGGTAGGGATGCTTTTTTCATGTTTCCCCCTTCCCCCAGAAGTGGACAAGAAATCCCGTATTACCTAGGCACTCAGATTTGCATTCCTTGGTGTTGCAGGTCTTACAGGTCATCAGACGGCCGGACAACCCCCCAGCTGGGCATTGCCAACCCCTCCACCCCGCAGCCCGCCTCTCCTGATGTCAGTAGTAGCCACTCTTTGTCGGAGTTCTCCCATGGTCAATCTCCTAGGAGCCCCATTAGCCCGGAACTGCACTCAGCACCCCTCACTCCTGTGGCTCGGGACACTCCACGACACTTAGCCAGTGAAGATACCCGTTGTTCCACGCCAGAGCTGGGGCTGGACGAACAGGTGAGGGATGCTGCCTTACTGTGGGGTTGGCAAGATGGGGCATGGAATTGGGAAGGGACAGCATCTGCTAAAGATGGGTTTCATCTTATAGATCCTCCTCCCTATTTTGAGGGATAAGGGGCTGAAATTGACCTCCTAAACATGTATTTGTATTGGCCATTGTTAAAAGGATGCCCACCCTGTGAGGGGTCTTCCCAGATTGCCCCAGGCTGCAGTACACAAGTAGGACTTGTGCCGGGAAGCAGGCTGGGACTGAGTCCTGACCAGCACACCTTATCTGCCCACAGTCTGTCCAGCCATGGGAGCGGCGGACCTTCCCCCTGGCGTACAGTCCCCAGGCAGAGTGTGAGGACCAGCTGGATGCACAGGAACGGGCAGCCCGCTGTACTCGGCGCACCTCAGGCAGCAAGACTGGCCGGGAGACAGAGGTGGCACCCACCTCGCCTCCCGTCGTGCCCCCCAAGAGTCGGCATCTAGCAGCAACAGTCACAGCTCAGCGCCCGACTCACAGATGAGCGGAAGACAAGAATCTAAACAGACTCACTAACTATTGGCATTAAAGCTTCAGAAATCTCTGCGTTTGATATTCAAACATCATATGCCGGAAATTTTCACAGTTTTTAGTGAATTTAAGGAATTTAGATCCTACTTTGGCATTTTTTTTTCCTTGTTTTAATTTTTGTTTTGTTTTTGTTTCCATGTTTTCTTGTCACACACACCTGAGCACTTCCTCCAGTTGGCAAACAGAAGTTCAGGATAAGACCCTGCTGGCCTGGTCCTGGCACATCCTCTGCACTGTTGAATCACTGGACTTACTGATGTTAGATGATCACCCCTCTCCCTCACTCCTGTGGGCAGGGTGAGACAGCCACATGGGCAGAGAGAACGGGAAGCTCCGGTTCAGCATTGCCTTCTTTGGTGAGGGTGGGACAGAGCAGGGTGCTCTGGGCTCTTACCCTCTCCCCTCCCATCTGTGGCTTGGCTCAGCTCTGGCCCTCCTGGCTGGCTCCCCCTTGGTTTTCTGTGCTGGAGCACCCCACCAGAGCCACTTTGCCATAACTGCCAGCTGTTCTCATTGAGCTCCCAATGGCAGAACAACTTCCTCTGGCACGTAGATCTTGGAGACCTGTTTTCGTTTCCATTTTCATCTATATTTGGTCATCTCTGTCTTGACTCCTTAACTGCAGTAACCTGGCTGTGGCTGCTCAGGTTCCCACCATCCTGCCCCTTGGCACCCTCGCATCTGTCCCATCCATGCTCACCCCCACACACCAGTCCTTCCACTCGGAATGGCTGTACCACCTATCCTGATCTGTGAAGGTGGGGTTAGGACTACTTAACCTCTGTTCCCACTCCCCTGCAAACCAGGGCATCTGGGAAGTGAGCGGCCAGCTCCCCTGTGTAATTTTGTGTTCACTGATTCACTTGGTCATGTTCCCCTCACGTCCAGGTCCCTGTCAGTGTCAATTAGACTCTTCCTCTTTCACGTTCCCCTTGCCTGTGGAACATGTCCTAGCTGTGGTTTCCGTCATTCCCCTGTCACCCTTCTTTGTTAACCTTGTGCCTGTCTCATGTATAATCACATCACCAAAAAGGGGGAGGGGGGAAAGGACTTCTTTTTTTTTTTTTTTGCCATTTTGTAATCATATAAAAAATAGTAGACAAACTGCTTAATGGTTGGGGTTTTTTCACAATTTTCAACATTAGTGATTTTTTTTTTTTCTGGTTCTGTTTGCAAGTTAAAGGGTTTGTCATTGTTTCTTTAAAAAACAATAATGCACCATATCCCTATGCATAAAGTGCTTCTTCTATTTATAAGGTTGAAAATTCTGAATAACCCTTTTAGCATTGTAAAAAAACAAAAAAAAACAAAAATTGAAAAAAAACCTTGTATTTTGTAAATATTTTCTTTTCCTGCTTTGAGCTGTGTAATGGCAGCGAAACATGTAGCTGTCTTTGTTCTATAGAAATGCTTTTCTTCAGAGAAGCTGATCTTTGTTAATGTCTTGATTCTGTTCGCAAAGCACAGACTAGTGCTTACAAAAAAAGGAAGGAAAAATTGAAAAAAATAATAAAAAAAAAAAAGAGTTACAGAATGTTGTGTGCCAGGCCTTTCTTGACTCGTGCTGGGTATACATGATACACATGCGGGTGGTGGCGGCTTCAGAGCCGGCTCTGCTGGAGCCATCCTTTGGGGATCTCTGAATTGCTCTGAGCCTTGCGAAGTCTCCATTCTGTCTTCAGGGAACACGGCAGGGTCATCTGATGGTCACCAGAGAGAGGATGTGGTGATCTTTTACTGAGAGTAAGGGGTGCCAGGAGGAGAGGCAGTCTGCAAGGATCATCTGCCTTTTCTTTTTGTGGAGTGAAAGTAATTGTACCATTGCCTCTTCCTTTCTCCAGTGGTACCAGCAGTGTGACATTTTGCATCTATTCTAAATTGCTCTTTAAAGGAGATTTTACTTTTCCTTATGAACTTTTTCTGGAGTTGGGGGTCAATGAGAATATATAATTTGCATAAATGCCTGGGTTGGTTCTTGCCTGCTACCTGAGATTATTACAGCATCTTTCTTCTGAGGAGGCCAAGTGCTTGATTTTCTTTGTACAAGATGAATAAGTAGGTGGGCCTGGTTCTCTCTCTTCTCACTTTACCTGGCAGTCAGGCAAGTGAGGCTGCCTATCTATCGTGGCTCCAAAAGCCACGCCTGCTGAGGTGGCATTTCTCTTGCTGGTGTATTGCTGCTTCTGGAGTTACAGTTAAGATCTGTTCTATTCAGGCATCTGCCTGCAGTGGCTAAGCACATCAGGAAAAAGCCAAGAAAAATAATATTTTGAAACTGAAAAATCTAAGGATTCAATATCATGACCTTGACATAATTAAGAAACAATAATATGAGGGGTTACTGTTTTTGTTTTCCTTTGTGGCATTGCTAGGAAGAAGCTATCTGGTATATCTGTCTTGGTTTAGTAGAAATATTCCTCAATGAGGTTCCAAAGGAAAGAGAAAGGCAGCTTTGTCAACCTGGCAGGAATCTAAGCTGCTCATTTAGCTGATTGGCTGGTGTTCTGCTTCAGCCCTCTGGACTAATTTCCAGGGACAGCAGATCTTATATACCCAATCCCCAACTTTCTCAGCTTTGAATACAGGCACCAGTCTTACAAGCTCTGAGTGCAGCACTGTGAGCTCAGCCACAAGGGTTCATATTGCCCTTTGAGTTGGACCAGGATGTTTTGCCAGAACCAGAATGAGAGAATCAACTGAAAATGAACCAGTCCGAGAACACTCCTTTCACCGTCAGGGCCCCAGAAAGAGCTGTTAATCCTGATGTACAAGCTTTTAACAGTATTGTCATTCCCTGTTCTGAGCTAAGTTCTCTTAAGGGTGGGAAAGAACTTGAAAATCATACATCCTTTTTTAAAATTTATTTATTTTTAAGGCTAGTCAAGTGAAGTAGTGGGAGTAGAGAAGCAACAGAAAATCATACACCCTGTATCATTGTTTTGTGCTCGGAATCCACGAACAGAGACCTTATTTAATCAGAGTAATAACTTTATTTCCAAATTCACTTGTACAGCAACAGTCAGTGTAAATCTTTGTTAAAACACACAATACACTATATGGACATTTACAAACAGGAAGCTAAGCTAAGATGATTTCATGTCCCTCCCCCCACCCTCAAAGTTACCAAAGAAATCATGGGACTTGCAAGTGCCAGAAATTGTCCTGCCCAGCTTTGCAAATTCACGGGGCTAAGTCCATTAGGAGGTTAAAGACTCTAGGCCAGTGCCAGGGTAACCCTTTTCAAAGCTGAAGAGAAATCGGAAGTCCCCTGAAGCCACAGATCTGTAGATGGAACAAGCTGACGATAACCTCTGCCGCCGTCCCCCACCTCTTGGCTTCACTTGGAGGACAAAGATAAGGAGGGTGAAGCAAACAATCTCAGCCCCCCGCTAAAAGTACAGGCTGTATGTATGCAGCCAGTGGGAGAGGTGACACGGAGGTGCCAACAGCTTAGAGGGAAGGATGCTGGGGTCTTAGGCATGCTTGCGGGCTTGGGACCCCACAAGAGGGCAGCAGGCCAAAGCAACCAGATCAGATTCCTGCTTAGCTGGGAAGGCCATGGGCAACTAGCTGGCTGCCTGCTGCGACTGGGAAAACCTGTCAGTGGAAAGGTGAAGCCGCAAGGACCTCTAACCCCATGGCATCTCCTCCCTCTAGCAAACGTAGTTGAAATCATGAAGAAAAGGGTTACCGGGCAGTTTAACTGCTGCACTCCAAGACCTCCCTTTGCCCATGTTAACTACTGAATACGTTCCTCCCCCCTCCCCCCACAGTACAACAAGCTATTGCAAACAGGAAACAGTCTCACCACCGAAGTCAGCTTAAATGGAGCTATTGATAAAGTGAACTGAGAGCTTGACAGGCATACAGTATACCCTATCTAGCCCACCCAGGGACATTGGCTCTAGAGGTGGGAGAAAAGGGGTGAGGGGAGGAATGTCCAGCCCTGGGGGGATTGTCCTCATTTAAGGTCACAAGCCAGCACCCCTTTGCAATCTACCTGCCAGCACTGACTTGATCACCCCAAACCGTGACCCCAGTAGCCCACCCCACAAGGGAGAGTCCAAAGCCTTCCTCAGACGGCCCATGGTGCTGAAGAGCAGGGCCCGGGGACTGCAGGAAGAGAAAAGAGATGCGAGAAGAAATGCACCAAAGTCAGAGGCAGTAACGAGCAGGCCATGCTCTTAACAGCTAACAAATCTCTACACCACATTTCCTTTTTCTTCCTCTGAACCCCTCACTTCTGAGAACAGCCGGGACTCAGAGGACAGTGGGGAACCTCACAGTGGAAAGTTCTGGGGCCAGATAATTCCTTGCACAGAAAGCCCTGGCTACAAATGGGATGTCCAGCCCTGGGGGAGGCCCTGGGCCCCTACCGCCCAGCCCCCCAGGTTGCCTTTAACTGTACCCAAACCAGAAGTGACAGGACTGGGCCTGCGGCTGCTGAGTTTCTTTTCTGCAAAGGCGGCTTCCCTTTTCTCATGGCAGCAGATGGAGCTCATGCAGTCAGTGGGCTGATGTTGCTCTGGCCAAGGCTTTGGGAATCACGTTTCCTGACTTGTCACCCTTCCTCAGTCAAGCAGCTCGGGCCCCTGGAGCCCATCCAGGATGGACAATCCATTCCAATGCCTTCTGTGGCTGGAGAGCCCTTGGTGAGGAGGCCTGGGCTGGCCCTCCCGAGAGTGAGCCTGGAGAGGGACCCCAGCCTGCGGGATGGGCTTCTGGGGGCTGTGGACTTTCTTCCTTTTCCTTGTGATGCAGTTTTAAGACCCTCTTTCAGGACTGCTATGGGACTTCTCAAGGCTGTGACCGGAGAGGACCATCTCCATGCTGCAAACCAGGCCATCCACAAGACACGGCTCCCTGCCCTGCCAAAGGGAGCCCTGGGGGAAGTGGGGAGGGGGACACCATAGCTTCTGTCCTAGTCCCGTGCTTCAGGCCTTTGCAGCTGAAGGTCCTCCTCAGAAGCCAGAATCTGGTCTCTTTTAGGTCCCAGATGCTGATGAAAACCTTTCAAAACGTGGCAAAACATGGAGGCCCCCGCAGCAGGTACAGCCACACTGGCCTCCTGGAGCCAAGTCCCAGCGTGAGGGTGCGAGAGATCTAGGACCCTCACCAGTGTGGGTTAGAAACCTCTTTACAAGCAATTCAAGATACATGCGTCCTTTTTTTTTTTGTTTTTTTGTTTTGTTTTTGTCTTTTCACTATCATAGTCACTCTGGTGAATCCAAGCATAAACAGACAAATCCAACTACAAGGCAACAGAGTGCAGACAGGGGAGGAAGGGCAACATCTACGTATATGTTCAGCTGCTCCAGCAGAACAGACAGCATTGCTTCCAGCTGGGACTGGGGGGAAGAACCATTTCTGAGGGGGCATGTTCCCCTTTTGGGGGTGTGGAGGGCTGATTATATGCACGTGGAGGTGAACAGTGGCTGGGCTCTCTGGGAGGCTGGCAGTCTCAAGCTGGGGCACAAGTCGGGGACGGAGGAACAGTGATCCTGCCGGGGGGGAGCCTTGCCTATCCATCCTGGTGCTATCATTGGCAACACCCAACTCCTGCTGCCAGCTCAACACAAGAAGGGACCAGGCCTTCTGGGAGGGAAAGGCTCTCTCCACGTCAAGGCAAGAACGTGTAGGGTCATTGCTGAGCAGCGCCCTGGCTCACATCTGTGATGGGAGGTGGGGGCAGGGAATCGAATAAGGTCATCAAATCCGCTGTGAGAGGCACACCCATAGGATGAGTGGAACTTGGAGCGAGAGACTGAGGCTCAACCTTTGTGCCTGGACTTTGCCTTCTTTTGGTTTCCCCACTTAGAGTAGGTGCCTCCCATATCCAACCAATGTCCACTGCTGAGGAGGGGGGTGGTGAGGCTGGGAACTCGGGACAGTGTGACGTGATGAGGAGTACAGGCAGTGATTGGCTCTCACAGCAGACACACGGCACAGGCAGGGCAGACAGAGGTGGCTGCAGTGACCGTGGGAGGGACGGGAGTCTCGGAACCCACCTCCAGACCCCCACACACTCCAGAGATGCCTGAGGCCAGACGTGGGAACAGGCGGACATCTCCCAAGAGGCACAAGTCCTTACAAAGAGAACGGGTTAGCCCTAAAGTCCCAGGTCTGCGAGGTGGCCAAAATCGTGGCTGCAGTTCCAACCTTCAGAACTCAATAAATAAGAGTTTCCATGGGGCGGAGGGAAGCCTCTTAGCTCAGGACCCCACTTAGCTCAGGAAGGACCGCCACCCTGCAGGGAGGGAGGAAGAGGCCAGAGCTCTCGGACATCGAGGTCAGTCTCCTCCAAGGAAGTAACCCACAGGGTGCCACTTTCCAGCAGACCTTCCGTCTCCTCCTGCCCACTGCCCTTCTCCCACAGGCCGCCTCCAGAGGGTGGCACACCGACCCACAGGCGACCCCGGCCACCAAGAGCAGGAGGCTGCCCGGTCTGAGCAGCTGCGGGCTGCAGAGGTGGTCGCCCTTCCCGCTGCTATCCCGGCGGCGCCCGGCAGGGGGCGGCGTCGCGTCTCCCACTCCGCGGCGCCGTCCTTCCTCTCCCCGCCCCCGCTCCTCCTTCCTCTCGCCTGCCCGCCCCTGCCTCGGCCTCCGCTGTCCCCGCCCCCCATCACACTCACACAAGGTTGACATCATCTGCCTGTGGCTCCACGAACACGCCAAGTTTCAGATCCCTTGTTGCTGCCGCTGCCTCTGTGACGCCCCCAGGACGGGGCCAGAGGCGGTGGGCACCCCCGGTCCCTTGAAATTCCCCAGAAGCAGCTTTCAAAGCCTCTCCTCCCTCTTCGACTCAGAGGGGGGAAAAAAAAAGAATCAGAAGGAATTGCCCAAGGAAATGTTGGGTGTGGCCATGTTTTTTTGAGTGGTTTCTTTTTTTAATAAATATTTTATTATTAGCCCACCCATCAATTTGGAAAGATGAAATTTGCTCTTACTCCCATCACTGATTTTGAAGTCCCGAGCCAAAGCCGAGCGACAAAAGCAGGTTAGGTGATTAACCCATTAACCGATCTGCGAGGAGCAGCTGGGGGGCAGAGGGCGAGGGGCCAGGACATTATTCTTTTTTTTTCCACACTCTCTCACTCTCTCTTCTCTCCACGATTATTGACCGCCCCGGGGGCCTGATCACAAACCCTGCTTGGCCAGGGAGGCGGACACCTCGTCGGCTAGCGTGGCGAGCTGGGGCGAGTCTACCATGTTGATGCTGCCCGTGGAGGAGACGTTGCTGAGGTGCCGTGGAGACGTGTCCCCGGAGACCACGGGCGACTTGTACACGATTTCCGCCCCGTGGTCTGTCTTGGCTTTGGCGTTCTCGCGGAAGGTCAGCTTGTGGGTTTCGATCTGCGAGCAGGAGAGGAGGGGAGGCAGGGTGAGACCAAGATGGAGAAAGGGGACAAGCCCTGCCAACAGCCTGAGACATCCCACACGTATGCAGACATACACATGTATCTTAATACATGGGATAAAACGATACACGCAAGCTTTGCACTCTCGTTTCCAAACTTAATACCTTCTGTAGTCAGTACCTAGAGAGCTTCCTCATGCTTATAATTAATTCCCTTACAGCAGAGGCGCCAAGATTCATCTACTCCCCTATGGATGGATATTTAGGCTGTTCCAGTATCGTGCTGGTGCAAACAGTGCTGCGTACGAACAACCTTGAATGACCTTGTGTGCACATCGCTCCACACACCGCGTGTAAGTGGATGCCAGCTGCGAATGCAAGTGCTGAGGGAGAAGCACATCAAGGGATGGCCCCAGAGCCACTGGAGCCAGAGCTGCACACATTCCTCCCTTTGCCAGTAACTGATTAGGACCTCGGAGGTGGCCACAGTTGTGGGCAGCACTGGCAGGTGTGCTGGAAAACATGATTCGCTGAAGCCTGCATTCTTTCATTCATTCATTCATTCATTCATTCATTTAGAGATGGGTTCTCGCTGCGTTGCCCAGGTCGACCTTGAACTCCTGGGCTCAAGTGACCCTCCCACGTCCGCCTCCCTAGTAGCTGGGACTGCAGGCTACAGTGTGCCCCACCGCTTGTTAGCAATTTTGCTCCTCACACTCAGAAAACAGGGGACTAAATCTGACGGGATCCTCTAGGACCAGACAGTGTCTTCTGAGTTTTCTGGGCCATCGCAGAGGTGAGTTAGAAACAGAAGGAGCCAAGATGTTTTAGACCTGGACTTGGCTCTAACTCATATTCTTATGATGACTACAGCATTCCAGGCAGTTTCCAGAACATCGTCTCTTTTGGGTCTAACCACCACCCTGGGGTAGGTACAGTACTTCCATCCCGTTCTGCTGAAGAAGAGGCCGGAAGGGCTTACAGATCTTGCTCATGTCACACCTCCAAGTACAGTCAAGCCCAGAGCTTTTCCTAGCACAGAGAAGCTCCCAGAACTGGCAGAGGCCTGTCTTTACCCAGGGAATTACCAACACCTGGGCCTTATCCAGACCCATTCAGACTCGTTAGGGGTAGGGCCAGTCCCCCAGGCTGGCAGGCGCTGCCTTAAACCCTAAACCAGGGTTTAAGTGGGAGTAGGTGGCAGGAGTAGGTGACAGAAACAGTGGACCCTGGGCTTTTTTTTTTTTTTTTTTTAGACAGAGTCTCACTCCGTTGCCTGGGCTAGAGTGCTGTGGTGTCAGCCTAGCTCACAGCAACCTCAAACTCCTGGGCTCAAGCAATCCTCCTGCCTCAGCCTCCTGAGTAGCTGGTACTACAGGTGCATGCCACCACGCCTAGCTAATTTTTTTTTGTTTCTATTGTTAGTTGCCTGGCTAATTTTTCTATTTTTAGTAGAGATAGGGTCTTGCTCTTGCTCAGGCTGGTCTCGAACTCATGACCTCAAGTGATCCTCCTTCCTTGGCCTCCCAGAATGCTAGGATTACAGGGAGCCTGGGCCTTTGCGGAGAACCTTCTCTATTTCCCCAGAGGACTGGGCCCTGCCCCCATGTCCTTTGAAGAAGGCAGCCTTCTGGTCCCCCTTTGTTTTCTCACTTTTGATAGTGACCCAGGCACTGAGAGGTGTCCCTGCATCTTGTGTCTGCCGAAGCACGACAAACTTGAGGTCCACCTTGGGTCCAGGAGTCCCGAAGGGGGACCGTGGGGAGCCAGACAGTGCAAGGTCATCATCTCAGGGCCCGTCCCCTCCCTTCCTATTGGCCTTGGGGGGCCCTGTCTGAGTGCGAGGTCTGCCCCAAGGTTCAGTCCGCAATGTCTGCTTTAAGACCATACCAGCAGGTGCTTCTCCACAAAACTACACTGTTGGACATTTACGCCAAACACAAGACAAGACATGCCTGTCTGTTCAGAATCAGAGCCAGAGGCAGTGAGAGGGCTGCCAGAGGAAGGCAAGCAGGGAGCTATGGGGACTGGCCAGGGCAGGGGACTCCTGGAGCATGGCGTGGTGGAAAGATGGCCCGACTGCAGCTTCCACCCAGCTGGGCCACCTCCGGCAGTGCACTTTCTCACGCTGGGTTGGGTCTCAGAGTCTACACCCATTCTAGGACATCCCTTCTCCCTCCGCCACTCCCCAGTCAGCTGCTGGAGGCACTAAAGGCTGGAAAATGAGCCACTCCCAGAACTTCAGGGCGGGTGTGGGTGGGAAACCCCAGAGGGCGCTTGGGTTGCATTTAGGCAGAAGAGAAAAAGCCTGCCACAAGACCGCATCCTGTGCTGGGCCCAGAGGCAGCTTGCTCAGGGCCACCCACACCCTGTGCCCTCCACCGTCACAGCAGACAGATGCCCACAGCAAGACCTGGAGACGCTAGAGAACCCTGGGGACACTGAGGTCCGGCAACCTCCGAGCAGACGCTTTCATGACAAGCAAGCAGAGGCTTTCAGCATCATGGTTTTGCTCTGCCTGCCTGGTAACCCATTTAGAAAACTGAGTTATGTTCCTATGACTTGTTCTTGCTTCACCAGAGCTGACTTGGGGAATGCCTACATCCTTCTGTGAGTGCTTGCACACCCCAGCGCCTAGGACAGTGGTTCTCACTTTTTTTTTTTTT